TCTCAAGCCGTTGAAGTTACAACCGGGAACCGATTCCCACAATCCACATCTTTGTTGAAGGAGTTCAAGACACTCGGTAAATATTTCTACTGGTATTTACTTTAATATAACAAATCAAAATTTGTATATGATGCATGTTTTAAAGATGACGATCAGTTAATTCACAATTAGTATGTACGGGTGTTGTATTTATACGATAAATACTTACTTTAAAAATTTTAAATTCCTCTGCGTACAGCCCGTACGGTACTAGCGAACCCAACAGTGGTATCAGAGCCACGGTTATCGTCTTTAAAACAGATTTTGATTTGTTATTGCTTATGAGATAAGCAAGATAATTAAATGTTTATGAGATAAATATTTTAATTATAAAAATAAAAAAAAAATTTAAAGTCGCGAGTCGCGACATATGGTCGCGAGTCGCGACATGTGGTCGCGAGTCGCGAGATGGTCTCGCGAGTCGCGACATGATAGTTTCAGTTTTTCCGAGCCCCAGTTTTTCTCGCGAGTCGCGAGATAAGGTTGCGAGTCGCGAGACACGAGTCGCGAGTCGCGAGTCGAGTCGCGAGTCGCGACTTAAATAAATAAAAAAAAAATATATATATAAAAAAAAAAAATTATTCATTAGATGAATGATTTAGGGATGATCATGAGCCTCATATTTAATATGATTGAATGTATGTTTTCATTTTCAATGTGATTGAATGAATAAATGGATGTTTTAATTATGTTTTTCAATATGATTGAAGAAATGTAATTTATCGAGACCTGCGAGTCTCTTGAGATAAAATTTGTAAAATTTTAAATTTTGTATCGTTAGAGATTAGATCAAGGTGGAGACCGTTCGATGACAAAGGCCCACGCATGTGTGGGTAATTTTACAAGTTGTAACCACGAAGGCCTGTGCTTGTACGGGTAGGTAGAATAAATGTAATAGAAGTAGTTCTATTATTTGTTTTATCACGTACATAGGCATAGATCCATTTTGGCTCGAATGGATCGAATAGGCAAGGACATGATCATCCCACCATGCATTAGATGTATGTTAGGTTTATTTACGCTTTCGTTTCATTATATGACTGATACCGGTAAATAAACGTAAAGATGGTAATCGATGAGATCAAGGAACCCAAACGGATTAATTTGATTAATTCCATATCAAATCAATAATGGATAAAAATAAGTTGGAACTTATTAATCCAGGCCTTCCATCAAAAGTAGACGACATGATACGCTACGATGCTTTATCACCGACCATGAGTCGTGGGGTGGTTTTGTGTTGAAAGCTGTGAACTCTACTGAGTATATCGATACACGTGAGACGGATTCCTCTTTGTGTTGACCATGAGTAGTGGGACATTTTGATGGGCCGTTATCATGTATGTTTGATGGGTTTGATTTGACACCAAGTAATATATATGGTCATAAAATTGAGGTATATAAGGAAAGGTGAGGCAAAACATCTTGAAGGTTGTATAAAGATACAATTGTCAAAAAGTTGACTACCGATAAAATTGTTTCATGGTGGCATCATAAAATTGGGACATGAAATATTTTTATTGGACTTCAAGCCCACTATGAAAATAATGATTTTCATAATTATAATGAGGTTCTAATTAAATTAGTGGGAGACATTTAATGTTAAAGACCTAATATTAAATGAATATAAATTCCATAGTCTAATTATTTTCTGCTTCGTTTGTTATTTTTGTAGATCAAACTACTAAAATGGCTAAGAATCCAATCGCGAGTATCCTTGATCATAATAAATTAACTGGTCCCAACTTCAATGATTGGTTGAGGAACCTAAAGATTGTTCTTCAGTCTGAGAAGCGAGAGTATGTTTTGGAAACAGCTCCTCCTCCTCCACCGGAGGATCAGACTGCTGAAGAGTATGGAGCCTACTTGCGTCATGTTGATGACAATCTCCAAGCTCGGTGCTACATGCTAGCATCAATGTCTAATGAGCTACAGAGACAGAACGAATTACTGAATAATGCTTCTGAAATCCTAACTCACCTGCAAGAGTTGTATGGTGATCGGACGCGACAAATTAGATATCAGATATCTAAAGAGCTTTTCAGGTGTCGTATGACCGAGGGCTCTTCAGTTCATGATCATGGACTGAAGATGATAGCTCTTGTGGAAAGACTCGAATCACTTGGAGTCATTATGGATAATGAACTCTATGTGGATTTATTGTTGCAATCTCTGCCAGCGTCATTCGATAACTTTGTCGTTAACTACAACATGCATAATATGGAAACTGATCTTCCAGGATTATTAAACATGTTGAAGACGGCTGAGTCCACCATTAAAAAGGACAAGCCGGTACTTCTTGTTGGATCCACTTCCGGATCAAAGGCTACTAAGTCTAAGAAAAGGAAGAGGAAGGGAAAGGTTCCCAATAAGCCCAACAAGAAGGCATATAATGATAAAGGGAAGAACAAACAGAAGGTTAATTCTCAGGCCGATCATGAATGTTTTCATTGTGGCAAAACTGGGCACTGGAAGAGGAACTGCAAGGAGTATCTTGCTAGTCTGAAAAGTTCAGGTATTTATTTTGTTGAAGTTAACTTGTCTGTTAACGATTCTTCTTGGGTATTGGATACCGGCTGTGGCTCACATATTTGCAATGATTTGCAGATGATGGCAAGAAGTAATATGCTAGATGGTGAAGAAACAATCCTAAGGATGGGCAATGGGGCAAGAGTTGCTGCTAAAGCTATTGGGACTGTTTATCTAGCATTGAATAATGATGTAAAGATTTGTCTATCAAACTGTTTGTATGTTCCGGATTTAATAAAAAACATTATTTCTATTCCAATATTGGATAAGGAAGGTTTTAAGTTTGTCATTGAAAATGGAAAATGTTCTATTTTCAAAGACACAACTTTTATTTATTCTGGAAATTTGACAAATGGGTTGTATACCATTACACCACAAAGTCCCATCCTAACCATTCAACAAAATAAAAGGAAATTAGATAATCATAGTTCATTCACAATTTGGCATGCTAGATTAGGTCATATATCCGAAAAACGGATTCACAAATTGGGACCTAAACTCGACCTTAGGGGAGAGGATAGGTTGCCTACATGTGAGTCATGTCTTAAAGGTAAAATGACTAAATCACCATTTGTTGGACAAGTGGAGCGAGCTAAAGGTTTGTTGGATTTGATCCATACAGATGTTTGTGGACCACTAAACGTTAGTGCAATGGGGAACTATCACTATTTCATAACCTTCACTGATGATTATTCACGGTATGGTTATGTTTACCTATTGAGGTACAAATCTGAAGTATTTGAAAAGTT